TACCAGATGCCTCCTGGAGTTCCAACTCTCTTCTACGCCACAAGGTAGGACAAGTGGTCTTTTCAAGTACCAAAATCCACTGGACAATGCCCACCTCCCTTTATAGAATACCTCTCTTAGCCTATAGTGATATTCATCAAAAAGAACCCCCTCCCACCACCAAATTAAAGCCTCTCTCTTCCTTTCCACCACTTTTCAATCTCTGTCCCCTGCAGGCTCTTCTCTTCCTGAGAATCCACAGAAGTCACCTTTCCCTTATTATTAGCCCTCAATTTGACTGAGGTGCATCGCACTCCCCTTTACCGCTCTACTCCCCTCCCCTGCCATGCACCAATTTTGTAATGTAGTCTCACCAAAAAAAAAAGATTCACCTACAGGTAGGGCATACACAATGACCTTGGCTTGCCTCTTCACTGTTACCTCCAGCTGACTTCTGCCTTCACTCCAATCTCCTTGTGTACTTTCAGAAAAAAGTCTCTTACTGGTCTCTCTGATGTCACTTGTTTACTGTTGTTCATGGCTGATGCATTTATCCTTCCTGCATTTCTGTTGAATGGGGCGTTCAAGAAGCAAATAAAATCCTCAGGTCTGGTTTTCTTACTAAGAATGTTTCAAATGCCTCTTCATCACTACATGTCTATCTATTTTCGTTCATAGTTAAGCTCAGATTTGCAGGGTAGCCAGCTCCATCACTCTTCAGAACACATCCCAATTCCTCATTCGTTTTCTGGCAGGTGCACAACAGTCTTGTGTTCTCCGGATTTCCTTTCCTTTGTTTTTGAAGGTCTCTCTCCTGGTTGCTTGAAAGATCTGTTGTTCCTGAATTAAACTGTTAAAATTAATCAGTATATGTCTTAGAGTTTGAAACCTTCCCTCTGCAACTCCCAGAAGTGATCTTTGAACTCTTTCCACTGGTATTTCATTTTCTGCATTCAGAAGCTCTAAGGAGTTTTCTTTTCTTTCTTTTTTTTTTTTACTGCAGTTATTATTTTTTATTTTATTTTATTTTTTAATTAATTTATTTTGATTTATCAACAATCACTTCCATATGCTTTTGAGTTTAAAATTTTTCTCCCCCTTCCTGCCCACCACCCTCCCCAAGACGGTGTACAATCTGATATAGGCAATACATATACATTCCTATTAAACATATTTTCACATTAGTGATGTTGTAAGGAAGAATCAGAATCACCAGAAAGATGAAACAAAATTCAACAGAAGAAAAAAAATAGCAAATAACATGCTTCGATCTGCATTCAAATTCCATAGTTCTTTCTTTGGATGTGGATAGCATTTTCCATCACGAGGCCTTTGGAGATGTCTTAGATCCTTGTATTGCTGGGAAGGGTTAAATTTATCAATATGAGTCTTCACACAACGTGGCTGTTGCTGTGTACAACGTTCTCCTGGTTCTGCTCACTTCACTCAGTCCATACAAGTCTTTCCAGGTTTTTCTGAAGTCAGCCTGTTCATCATTTCTTATAGCACAATAGTATTCCATTACATTCATATATCACAACTTGTTCAGCCATTCTCCAACTGATGGGCATCCTCTCAATTTCCAATTCTTTGCCACCACAAAAAGAGCCGCTATAAATATTTTTGTACGTGTGGGTCCTTTTCCCGTTTGCATGATCTCTTTGGGATACAGCCCCGGAAGTGCTATTGCTGGGTCAAAGGGTATGCACATTTTTATGGCCCTCTAAGGAGTTTTCTTATATTATCACTTGCATTGTGGTGTTCACTTTCTAACTCTCCTGTTCTTCTAGGAGGTCCATAACCTTTAAATTGTCTCTATACCTCCCATCTTCACGAGCGAGCTGTTTTGTTTGGATGGATAGCATCTAGACTGTCCTTCGTTTCTGTGTATTTGCATTCCCAACCAATTATTTCTTTCTTTGGTTTCTTTGGTGAGATTTGCCATCTCAGATTCAAGTTCTTCTGTTCTACCAATTATTTTTGCTGGGCAGGACATAAATTCTGCTCTCCTAATTATCATTTCTCTGTTTAAACCGCTCAGGAACAGTATGCTGTGGTTCTACGTTCTCAAATTCTGTAGTGTTGGATCATTTTCCTTTGTTTTGCGGTATTTATTCACAAATACCTGACCTCATTTACTACATCTAGACGTCCTATTTCTTTCTGTTATTAAAGTTTTCCCTGCTGATTTTATCTGCTTATGTTCAGAGTCTTTCAGTTTTCTTCTTCCTGAGATCTTGGGTCACTTCAGTAGGTTTTCCCCTTATTTTCCTCTATTGTTCACCTTCCGACTCCCTCCCCCTCCTTTGACAGTGGTTTCCCTGGGGGCTGGATCTCAAACCTGTTTCCTCCCACAGTGGGTGATTCATGGTTCACCAGCCTATGTTTCTACTCCAAAGGATTTTTGGGAGAAGAGAACTGGTCCCAGTTGGGGGCTGGGTCTTTCCCTCAGACTTAGTGGAGTGTCATATAGCCTCCTTCCCCCCACCCACACACACATACACATACACTGTGCTCTGTCCTGCTCTCTCTGCCCCTCAGTTTTCTGGCCCAGCAGTCCAATGGGCTGGTGCCACTGTAGCTGGGGATGATTTCCATCATTTGGAGTTTGGTCTCCAAGGCTCTGAGCTGAGAAAGAAGTTAGAATACGAGGTTCAGCGCTATTTCAAACCCAGACACATCCTTTCCTGTTTTCTTTCTTCCTGATTCTCCTGTAAAGTTATGTTACAGCTCAGAATGCTGATGGAGTGCCAACCAAGGAGACCCCATCAGACTTCTACAGCCTGAAGCCCAGATTTCCAAGGCACTGGAATCGAGGTGTAGGGTTGGTTTTTGTTCCAAGTCCATGGGTCAGGTCCTTGGGCCAGTTAATGTAATGTCATTACTAGTGACATGGTGGGTGGTGGAGGAGAAGGTGCTCTATGAGCTCAGAGTAGGTGTGATGTCATGGGGTTTTGTTTTGTTTTTTTACCTTCTTTTGGGTTCCAGGTGACCTAGACCATGAAGACAGTCAAAGTTCCTTGATCTTTGGGATGTAATTTCTGTTTTGGAGAGATGTGAGAGGTTATGAGGAATAGAGAAAATGTCTGGTCCTCAATCTTGCTGGTCATGTGAGCCAGAACCTTGGGCTTTTTAGTTAGCGTCAGGATGCATGATGCTCTCTGAACTCCAGGGACACCACGTATACCTGTGGTGCTCCCCCACCTTCCACGAGGAACAGTCTCTTTGGTGCTGCAGTTCTCCAGGCACCTGCTCTGATGTGTTTGAGTGACGTGTATGTGGCCACCACACAACAGCCAACCCCTGTTCCAGCATATCAGCCTGCCATGGCGGGGGAAGTTGCTCTGGTGAGAACAACAGAAAGAAGCCCAAGAACCTCTTCAAAAGCAGGAATTGCACACCCTACAAGAACTGAATTCACCTCCTCACTGATGGCTATGGAGATGGCCAGATTTTAGACTGCCTCCAAATGGTCATTCAAAAAGTATCCCCTGAGTCCAAAGACAGTCTCCGTAGTGTTGTGTAAACACGATGCTGGGCAGAGAAACCATGCAAAGAAAGACAGTGTGTAGATGGACCGAGCACAAACTCTGGAGGCAGAAGACCTGAATTTAAGTCCCAGCTCCAAAAAACCAAGCACTGTGCGACCTCAAGGGTCTCTCAACTTGGCCTCTCTGTGCCTGAACTGGCTTCTCTGTAAAACAGGCAGCACCCTTGAACTGGGTCCTCCACAAGCTGTGGTGAGGAAAGCCATTTGTCAACATTATGAGCTACTGTCACTTTCTGTCCCCAGAGATGTCCTGGCAAGGGTGGATAAAACCAGACAGACAGACTCCACTACTTCTCTTCTTCACACTCCCTACGCGCCCTCGTGTCACCTCTTCAGGACTAGTCACCTGGGCTCTACCTTCACAATACATACCACAAGAACAAGGTGGAAGAAAACTTAAGAAGCAACTTGAGAAAGTAAGAGCCACTCGACTGAGATGGGTTTTTAAAAATGTTTTGTTTTGTTTCATTTTTATCTGCCAGGAAGCTGAAGCAGAGGAAGGTCCCGGGGTTAACCTAGAGAAGACTCAGAGAGACAAGACAGTTGTCTTCGAGTATCTGAAAAGCTGTCAGATCGGCCGGCTCCGAAGGGCACGATGAGAAGGGAGTCGGCTTTGGCCTTGAGGCCAGGAAAGCCTCCATCCCAAGAGGAATGGGCTGCCTCAGGACGCAGCAGGTCTTCACCTAAAGTCTGGATGACCACTCGTTTGGGGTGTTTCCTTTGGAGGGAGGCCCCGTCCAACCCTTCTGTTTCTATGATAGCAGGTGTTGTACAAGGCCAGAGGGAGGCAGCCAACAGAATTAATCAATTGCTTTTCACTTCAGTACCCAAAGCAGATATTGTCTGAGTCTTTTCCAAAAGACCCCATGGCCTCCGTTCTGGATGCTGCAAACAGGAAAGGGAAGCCTGGGAGTCCCTCTGAACCACTCTCCAGTGGGTAACCCCAGCTGAGCCTGCCCAAACATGAAAGCCAAGGAGTCGGTTCAAGGCGAGATTCAAATGACTCTGAGTCAGGAGCAGAGGCCACAGACATGAAGATGTGGGGCGGCTGTTGTGCCCCCAGCCTCCCCAACTCACTAGCAGTTCCGCTTTCCAGTCTCTTTGGACAAGAAGCAGAGACCAGTTATTCAAGATTGACAGCAGACACTCTAACATGACAAATACTACATGAAGACCCCTTAGCGGAGTCTTCCTCCCATAGGAAAACAAAGCCTCTTTCATTCACTGAAGCACAAGCCAGGATTCAGGCCAGTCAAAGAGCAATGTGGTTACAAGACAGACTGAGTAGTACAGGAGCATGTAGGAATACCCATTTTTCAGACCTGCTGCCATCTTGCTCTACAATCTAGCCAAAGAGGCTAGACTGCTCAACGGCTACAACTCAAGCGGGGGTGAGCCCATGGCCTCACAGCTCTCTCAGAGGGTCGAGGTGAGGGTTGGGGGGGTTGAGCAGCCCAGGTTTCCTACTCACGTCTTCATCCTGGCTCGAGTGGATCAGCTCCACAAGCCTCTCAATGATGTTCTCTTCATTCAGCCACTGAAAAGAAAGGAAAAGGCCTTGGGTCACATGTTTGTGCCAACAGCAACTAGGCCCTGGGCTCCAGAAGCCTCCATGAGAGGCCGCGTGGCGCAGTGGAGAGAGTTCTGGATCGGAGACAGAGAACCTGAGGTCAAATCCTGTCTGCAGGGGCAGCTAGGCGGCGCAGTGGATAGAGCACCGGCCCTGAAGTCAGGAGGACCTGAGTCCAAATCCGGCCTCAGACCAAACACTTGACACTTACTAGCTGCGTGACCCTGGGCAAGCCACTCAACCCCAAGTGCCTAAAAAAACAAAACAAAACAAAACAAAAACAAATCCTGTCTGCAACATACTATGTGGGTGACCATGGTCAGGTCACTTACTCTCTCTGGGACTGTTTTCTCATATATAAAATAAAGGCTCAGACCTCCTTTAAATTCCCTTCTACTTGCTAATATAATAAAAAAGACAATTCTACCTAAGCTAATTTACTTATTCAGTGCCATACCAATCAAACCACCAAAAAATTATTTTATAGAGCTAGAAAAAGATAATAACAAGATTCATTCGGAAGAACAAAAGATCCAGAATATCAAGAGAACTAATGAAAAGAAATGCAGGGGAAGGTGGCCTAGCCATTCCAGATCTTAAATTGTATTGTAAAGCAGCAATCATCAAAACTGCTTGGTACTAGCTAAGAAAGAGAGCGCTGGATCAGTGGAATAGGTTACATATGCAAGACATGGTAGTCAATGACTATAGTGATCTATTATTTGATAAACCCAAAGACCCCAGCTTCTGGGATAAGAACCCACTCTTTTGACAAAAACTGCTGGGAAAACTGGAAAAGAGTACAGCAGAAACTAGGCATAGACCAAAATCTAGCACCAAATACCAAAATAAAGTAAAAATGGGCTCATGATTTAGATATAAAGGCTGATACTATAAGCAAACTGGGAGAGCAAGGAATAGTTTACCTGTCAGATCCATGGAGAACAGAAGAATTCATGACCAAACAGGAGATAGAGAACATTACGAAAAGGAAAACAGATAATTTTGATTACAATAAATTGAAAAGTTTTTGCACAAACAAAGCCAATGCAACTAAGATTAGAAGGAAGGTAGAAAATTGGAAAAGAATTTTTACAACCAGTCTCTCTGATAATGGCCTAATTTCTAAAAAATATAGAGAATTAAGTCAAATTTATAAGAATACATGCCATTCCCTAATTGATAAATGGTCAAAGGATATGAACAGACAGTTCTCAGAGGAAGAAATTAAAGTCATCTATAGTCATATGAAAAAATGCTCTAAATCACTATTGATTAGAGAAATACAAATCAAGACAACTCTGAGGTACCACATCACACCTATCAGAATAGCCAACATGACAAAACAGGAAAATGATAAATGTTGGAGAAGATGTGGGAAAACTGGAACACTAATGCATTGCTGGTAGAGTTGTGAACTGATCCAACCATTTTGGAGAACAATTTGGAACTATGCCCAAAGGGCTATAAAAATATACCCTTTGACCCAACAATAGCACTTCTAGGGCCATAAGCCAAAGAGATCACACAAATGGGAAAAGGACCTACATGTACAAAAAAATTCATAGCAGCTCTTTTTGTGGTGGCAAAGAATTGGAAATTGAGAGGATGCCCATCAATTGGGGAATGGCTGAGCAAGTTGTGGTATATGAATGTGATGGAATACTAGTGTGCTATAAGAAATGATGAACAGGCTGACTTCAGAAAAACCTGTAAAGACTTGTGTGGTCTGATGCTGAGTGAAGTGCGTAGAACCAAGAGAATGTTGTATACAATAACAGCCACGTTGTGTGATGACTAATATTGATAAACTTAACCCTTCCTGGCAATACAAGGACCTAAGACATCTCCAGAGGCCTTGTGATAGAAAATGATATCCACATCCAAAGAAAAAACTGTGGAAGTCAAATTGCTATTTTTTTTTCCTCTTCTGTTGAGTTTTGTTTCCTCTTTTTGATGGTTCCTCCTATTGGTTTTAATTTTTACTTACAACATCACTAATGTGAAAATATGTTTAATATGAATGTAAATGTATAGCCTATATCAGATTGTGCGCCATCTTGGGGAGGGTGGTGGGGAGGAAGGGGGAGAAAAATTTTAAACTCAAAAGCATATGGAAGTGATTATTGATAAGTCAAAATAAATTAATAAAAAAAGAAGAAAAAAAGGAAGCCAAATGATCACCATGTTATTACCTGCTAGCTACAATTAATAAAATTGATTAATAATTACCCAGAACAAAAATAAATAAATGAATGAATGAATGAATGAATGAATAAATAAATAAATAAATAAATAAATTCCCTTCTACTTTCAGCTCTATAGTTGTGATCTTGTAATATATTATATTACATGTACACATGTTACAGGTACACCAAGAAATAACTACCAGGTAATTGGACAGAGAGGGAGGGGGGAGACAGACAGAGAGAAGAGGAAGACAAAAAGACCCAGAGAGAAAGGAGAGAGGGAGAGAGAGAGAGGAGAAAAAGCAGAGACACAGAGAGAGAAGAGAGAGGAGAAACAGAGACAGAGACCCAGAGTAAGAGGAGAGAGACAGGAGACAGAGAGACGGAGACAGAGAGAGAGAGGAGAAAGAGGAGAGAGACAAAGAGACAGAGATGGGAGTGAGGGAAAGGGGAAGACAGGAGAAAGAAGAGAGGGGGAGAGAAACAGTGACAGAGACCCACAGAGAGAAGAGAGAAAACAAGAGACACTGTGATAGAGAGAAGAGAAAGAGGAGAGACTGAGAGAGGAAAGAAGCAAAGAGAGACACAGACAGAGCAAGGAGAGAGAGCACAAGAAAAGGGGAGGGAACAATTTGGATGAGTGAGTGGAGGCATATCAGGACAGGCTTCTTCCTTACAAATTATTTATTTATTTTTAACATTCGATTTTTAAAAATTTTGAGTCAGGATGGATTTCCAAGAGGAGGCAGTCCCTGAACTGAGCCTTGAAGGAGGTCGACCAAAAATGTACAAGAAGGATTCCATTTCAGGCATGAGGGACAGCTTGGGTAAAGGCAAGGAGGTAGGAAATGGATGGCAAAGCTTGGGAAGCAGCAATTGGGCTGGAAAGTCAAACACACTGAGGAGAGTAATGGGAAATAAATGAAAAATGATGAGATGAATGTTCCCCCTTTACAAAACTTTTCTGTAATCTGACATTCCCTCAACCTATTTATCCCAATTCAATTCAAGCCAATCCTTTCTTAGCACTCATTCAACTTTCAATCGAGCATGTCGGTAGTACCTCCCTCATGCTGACTCTTGGGGATACAAAGGCCAAAGTCAAAGTCTCCCTGCCCTGGAAGAGCTCACCATCTATCCGGAGCCCCGAGTACACTGGTGAGCACAAAATCACCAGGGTGCGGGGATTACAGGAGGCTTCCCGGAGTGGGCGGTCCTTGGGACGAGTCTTCCAGGAGGCTGAAGTGAGGAGAGTAATGCAGGCGGCGTGGGGCACAGCTGCCAGGGCAGGTGGAATCTTGGGCGTGAGCTGCCATACAAAGCAGGCTGGGACACACACAGCCTTACTTTTGCAGACCCCCTTGACACCTCCAAGCACCGTGGTTCAGACCCTTCTCATGTCCCACCTAGACCCCAGTGATAGCGTCCTCATCAGCCTCCCTGCTTCAGGTCTCCATACCCCCGTCCATCCTCCACCCAGATGCCAAAGTGATTTTTCTTAAGAGCAGATCTAACCATGTCATTCCCTACTCAATGAACTCTTTTATCTCCCTATTGCCTCTAGGATTAGATATAAAATCCTCTGTTAACTTCGGAGTCCTTCACAACCTGGACTTGATGTAACTTCCCAGCCTCTTCTTCACCCTGCTTGTCAGACGTGCCTCCACAGCAGCCAGAATGCCTGCCTCTCCTCCCTGCTGCTGGCCCCGCTCCTCCCACACGAGCCTGCGCTACTCCTTGAATCAGGGCGCATTTGTTCTCTTTGTAACTTAGCACAGACTCATGCATGTCCCTGTTCCCATGCCAGAATTTATGGAAGTTCCTTGAGGGTAGGGGAGTAGGCACTTAGTACATACCTGTCCTCACGGTGTCTAATTTATCTTTAGCTCCCAATGCAGACACTGCCTCCTTCACCAATTTCCTCAACCAATCCTGACAGATTTCCCATCCTACTGAGTTGAAATGCCTTTGACGGATTCAACTGGGAAAGTTCCTGACCCTGTTCACCATTTATTCACGCAGACTGGCTGATTCAGCTAATGAGTGTCCTCACCCAATAAAGCTCTCAGGGCTAAGAGGGATGACTGACTCAACTGACTCCTGCCCTTACAAACCAAAAGTGGTTTTAAAAAAAAAAAAGCTATATGGGGGGGGAAAGGGATTTAAAAAAAAAAGATTTTATCTTATATCTGAGAAAATTTGGGTTGCAATTGCAACTATTCACCAATTACTAGAGTAATTGCACCAATTACTAGAACGAACAAAGAAGGAATTAATTAGGTGTCGTCTGGGAAGGTCATGCTTTTCCCAACAGAACTGTATGTTATCACAATGATGGTACTATCATAAAGAGGGTCATGATTGCAAAAAATATTTGAGATCATTAATTAATTTTCCTAAAGATCTCTCACAATCTTTTGATATTCAAATCAATCTCTTTTGAAGCTCACATCTTGTCTTCTTCCTTGTCAATTTGCTAACTCTATCATATCCTCAGTTGTCAAAGTTATCAGTGAAGAGTACATGTACTATGGTAGTGTATAAAATAAGAGGAATCATCCTGACTTTCATCTTTATAATTTTTTTTTAATTTGATCACAAAAAACTTAGTAAATCAGTCATGAAAGATTTCTTATTTTATCCACACTTTGAAATGCAATTTCAATCTTACAAGTAGCATGGTTTTAGATTTGCTTTTCAAAACTCTCAGATTTTCACTCCTATAGATAAGCAAAAGCTTATGGCCTAGGACAAATGGCTAAACCTTAAAATGGATGTCAGCCTTCTATGGGGTTCCTCCAACCCACACCCCTGCCCCTAGATCTGTGCTTGACCCTAGACTAGACTTTGACATTTTTGTTGGTGACATACATGAAGCTGGGAAGGAGAGTTACCACGTGGCTTCCATGGCTGGACTCTTCTACAGTGGATGCACTTTCTTTTGGGGCCTCATACTCTTAATCATGATCCCCCCTGAGATCTTGGGGGGAGTTCCAGATCTGGCTTATGGACTTTGTTTTCATCCCCATCTCTGCCCTCATATTTGGGGTCTACAAATGACAAGCTGATGTCCTTCAAATGCTCAAGCTCCCCAGGATCTGCCCTTTCCCTTTGCTTCAGCCACACAGGTATCGGGAAGTTGGGTCTCCAGTCACACCACCCTCCCCAAACTCAGGATCGAAGTATGGGGACTTGATGATAATGATGATAATGAGGTGTTAAAAACAACCTGTAAATTTTCAACCACTTCTAGTGCAAACAAATCCCTTGACTTAATCATTAGAAAGGGAGCCTAACTCTGCCTAGCTGAACAGTTCAAAAGTCCAGTGGTTCAAGTTGGTTCAGGCAAGAGACAACAATAAAGGGAGAATGGAGCTTCTAGAAGCTGGAGGAGGGAAGGCCCTGAGAAAATACATCGCAGGCAGAGGCAGCTATCATAAGGAATGAGGGCCAGAACTCTGGCAGTGAGGCTTTGAGAGCTGACTGGGCATAAGATGCATTGGGAAAGATACTGAGTCACTGACAATCCATAGGATTAGAGACCCCAAGGCAATAATTTGGTATTTTCTTTCTCCCTTTGGACTCTGGCATGGAAGCCTGAGGCCTTTTTCCTCTTGGCATGGGGAAAATCTATTTACCCTTCTTGTTTCAAACATTTACTTTATCCTTATAAACAGTGTTAACCACAGACATTTGCTAGTCTGGGTGTACTTACTGGAAATACAGTTTGGAGGAAGCAACTGGCAAGGGGGAACAACCCTGAGAAAACAGAGAGATAGATTTAACAATGAAATGTTTTGCCAGAGCTATCTCTGGCTGGGGGCTCAGAGCTAAAAATAGAGAGAATTGTATATTCTTTAGTTACAACTTTCCAGGCAAAAAGAGACTGTTTACACTGGGAAAGCCCATCTAGACAATGAGTCAGTGGTGGGGATGGGGAATGGAGGGGTGAATAAGGGTGGAAGAATAACCCTGGTCACCACCCCACCATTGCTCCACAGGGATGGTCACACCCTTGATCTCACCCCATACAAATGTTCCACCTTTACAATCCTTCACTCTGAAATTCCTGTATCTTGCCATGCCCTCTTGACTTTCCATCTCTCATTACCCCTTATGCCTCCAGTCACTACACCTTTCTCTGCTTTTCTAGACCATCGCCCCTGTTCTGACTTTACTTTCTCCAGATCAAAATCTTCACCCTATAGTTAACCAGGTCAGTTTTACACTCTCTTCTATGCTTGAGTTCTTGTTCTTTGAGGGTCACACCTTTCCAAAACTGAGCACTGGATTAGTCTTATCATCTGCCTCCTCCATTTTTACTTATGTGCTGCTGAATACTGATGGTGAAAATTTCATAAAATTGTGCTAACTGGTACCACTACACATTTATGCTACCTAAATCTCAAATGGACTTTCAGTGCTGCACACCAATTTGTTTACTCTTCCCTGACTGACTATCCTACTCCAAGGCTCTGTTCTGGGCCCTCTTCTCGTCTCCCTATACAGTGTTTCGATTGGTGACCTCATCAGCTCCCATGGTTTCAATGATTATCTCTATGCTCTCAAATCTCTATGTCTAGCTCTGACCTCTCTCCCAGTCATAGTCCTGTGTCCCCAACTGCTCACAGATATCTTAAACACATGTCCACACCTGAACTCATCTGTCCATGCAAATTCTCCCCTCTGTCTAACTTCCCTATTACTATCACCATCCTCTCAGTCACCCAGGCTTACGATCTAGGCTTCCTTGATGTCTCCCTCTCTCATTTCCATGACCTATCAGTGCTTGAGTCCTGTCATTTCTACTTTCAGGACATCTCATATATACCCTCTTCTTTCCTTGCCGATGCAACAACCACTCTGGTGCAATCCTTCAGCACCTCACAACTGGCCTATTTCAGTAGCCTGCTGGTTGGTCTCCCTGACCATCACCTTCCACTCAAATGTCAAACTAATCCTCCTAAAATGCAGGTCTGACTATGTCACATCCAACCCTACCCCCAAGCCAGCCTACCTCCAAGACTATCTTTTCACTCTATACCTGACTCTAAAGTTTTTTCATTTTTCACTGTATTTCTCAAATTTGTCATTTTATAGTATCCTAATGCTCTCAATGTGCCATAATTTATTCAGCTATTTTCCAAACATATATGTTATTCTCAGGGTTTTTTATTTTTCTGGTTTCATTTTGTTTTGACAGTGATGTGATCATTACTGGGTCACAATGTATCACCAGTTTTGTGAATCTCACTGTACATTGCCAGGCTGCTTTTCAGTTACAGTCTTATTAACAATGGAATAGAAAACCTCTTTCCCCAAAGCTAATGAAAACAACAAAATTTTAAATTCTTGCTATTTCTGCCAATTTAATATCTGTAGGCTGTGCTGATCAGTGAGGAATGTGAACAACATTCCATGTAATTTTTTTTTTTGACACCGTTTCCCAATCTTGCTTAGGCTGAAAGTGTACTTGAGCCAGAACTGGCTGTTTCTCTCTCTCTCTCCCCCCCCCCCCCCTCCCCCCCCCCCCCTCGCTCCTTCCCTCTCTCTCTCTCTCTCTGCCCCCCCTTTCTCTCCCCTCCCCCATCTCACTCCTTCTCTCTCTCTCTCTCTCTCTCCCCTCCACTCTCTCTCTCCTTCTCTGTCTCTCCTCTCCTCTTCTCTCTCTATCTCTTTCCCTCTGTCTCCCCCCCCCCCCCCCCCCCGCCACTGGTTGTCTCTCCATTTGAATGTAGGTTCCTTGACAGGAGAACCATTTTCTTTCTTTTTTTTTTTTTGGCCTTTCTTTAGGTAGCCAATATTTAGCACAATGCCCAGCACATATTAAGTATTTAATAAATGTTTGTTCCCTGACTGTTGATTGATTTCTCAATATTTAGAAATAAATCTATATATTTGGGCAATTACTTTTTAAAAATTAGCATTCGGTAGCATTTTCTTGTGACTCAGTCTCATTCTGGGGCTATTTGCTGGGCAGCTAGTTATTGGTGTGATCTCTCCAAACATTTTAACTACTTCTTGTTTTATTAATGTTGTCATTTTATATTTTGGTAAGTTATCAGTTTAGAGTCTCAAAATTTATTAACATAGAATCATGTGTAGTACTCTCTGATAACTTTGTAGATTTCTTTTGCCCACGTTGTGATCTCTTCTTACTAGTTTCTAATACTTATAATTTGAGTTTTTTCTTTCTTTCAAAATTATATTAGTACATTTTAAAATCAGGATTATTACTTGCAATGTTAGACTTTATAGAGTATTTTAAAGAGTTAGATCTGAAGTTCTCCCATGTCTGAGTCCTATGGATCCTATCTGTACAGTGCCACGTGTTTCCATTAATTCTGGTTCAGAAACTAGCTATTCAGAGAATCAGAAATCATGGAATGAGAACAAAAGGTGCGGTCAAGATACTACAACCTCAGTATCACTGAGGCCCTAGAAAATGTTTTAAAAAGAAAGGAATATAGGGGGCAGCTACGTGGCGCGGTGGATAGAGCACCGGCCCTGGATTCAAGAGGACCTGAGTTCAGATCCGGCCTCAGACACATCACACTTACTAGCTGCGTGATCCTGGCCAAGTCACTTATCCCCATTGCCTAGCCCCCCCTCCAAAAAAGAAGAAAGGAATATAAAAAAAATATAAATAAAAATATAAATCTTTTAAAAAAAATCTATAATGAAAGTGAAAAAATGCAACTACCAGAAGCAATACAGATAAGAAAAAATATAAAATATTCTGAGACACATCCTCAAATTGATAAATAATACATTTAAAGCAATTAAGCAAGAATTAATATGATAAGAGAATCATAACAGCAAACAGAAGAGAGTAGAAATTTTAAAATTACAGGAACAGAAATCGCTAGACAGTACACAAAGAAGAGTAATATGAAATAAGACTAGAAAGGCTGGTGGGAGCTAGATTGTGGAGGGCTTCTTTACAGGGAAAGACCAGTGAACCACTCTAAAAACAATAAACCCAGAACAGTTCTGTTCTTTCTTGTTTCACAGAATAACTGCCTACAAGTTGGTTCTTTCTCAGAATAACCTCACCAGCTCCTCAGAAGGTACATAGCTCAGGAGTTTCCCTACCATCAGCAACCAGACATTCCAGCACAATGAGGGGGACAGTGCTCTGGCAGCTAGGGCAGGATGCACTGACTCACTGTCCCTAGCCGAGATGGACAGCACTTCTGCTCCCCACCTCTGCTGCTCTGGGTCACTGTCACAGAGCTCTGGGACACTCAGAATGATGGAGTTCTCAAGTACAACTATAAGGGATGTGATGCCTCCCCATGCCGGTGGCCCAGGAGACCTGGAGTTTATTTGGTATTGATTCTAGCCCTCCCAGCTAATCTGGGTAGGTTCTTTCATTGCCCTTAATCTCCCAGTGGGAAGCATGAAATGCTTACACTTACATTCAAGACCTCCTGCCGAAGAGTTGCAGGCTCCACACAGCTTATCAAGCGAAGTAGCAGGTCCATCATGGCCGAGGTGTCAATGTGCTTGAGTACCAGGCTAATGAACTGGTCTTTCTTTTTCAGAAATGTGATCACCTAAAACACAAATTAATCTCTTATGAAAAACAACGGCAGAGTATGCCACAGGAAATTTCCCTAGTCTTAGGCAAAACTCCTCCAAAAAGCCTGGGCCATATGAGGGAGGCAGGACTGAGAATATCTGTGCTGTCACTAAGGGACAGAAGAGGGCAAGCAGAATGACTTCTTCAATCCCATGTATCTGAGGAAAGAAAACAACCCCCAGCAGCAGACAGGAGCTGCTGAGTCCAGAAACCATCCTGCGTCTTAAAAACCTGGGGCATCAGCACTGGCCCCCAGTGTCTCATCCCAATATGGTGGCCACTGTAGAATTCTGAAAGTGTAGGCCAGTCTGGAGCTAGCTATGCCTGGATGGAAGTTCAAGACAACTCAGAGCTAACCTGGACCAGCTCAAAAGCTCGGGCTGCACTGGGTCTGTGGCCCAATGAAGACTGACCCCTACAGAGAAGGTTGGCACCAGGAGGGCAGTTACCTAGGGAGAACTTTGTTTGACCAAAGGAATGACAAAGGCAAGGAGGGGCTAAATCTATGCTGGGAATAGAACATTCCAACTAAGAAAACCACAGCTCTTCTGAAGGAATGAAGTATTTCAGAAGAGCTTTTAAGTGCGTGGCAGGAACCACAGAAAAAAACAAACAAATGAATAAATGAAAGAATGAATGGACGCATGTATGCATGCATGTGTGCATGTATGATGTGTACACACATATACATTTTTAAGGTGCAACAGCCAAGGGCAGCTAGGTGGCGCAGTGGAGAGAGCGCTGGCCCTGAAGTCAGGAGAACCTGAGTTCAAATCTGGCCTCACACACTTGACACTTACTAGCTGTGTGACCCTGAGCAAGTCACTTAACCCCACTGACTAGCCAAAAAAAAAAAAGATAATAAAAATAAAGTGCAATAGCCCTGGGCAGGGACTGAAGGCCCTCCTGGGAAAGTGCCTCGTGGGGTAAGAAAAAAGAGTCAACAGGGATTAAGTTGGAGAAGTGGCCTGTCGACAAAGGGAGAGCAGAGTAACTACAAACAGCAGAACAGAGACTCAGAATTAGGGCTGACATCTTGGAAAAGCAAAGTCCTGAGAGCAGAAACAACAAGTCTTATAAAACAGTGGGGCCCAACATGCGCCCACCGACACTCCTGAAGACAGCTCGAGCCTGTCTCATCTTGACGTGCTGGTGTATTAATTTAGAAAGAAATACACAAACACGTGTGGTTCTCTGAGTCAGCACGAAGCCTGCAGAGGTGCAGCCCCTGTTCTGAAAGAGTGGCCTTTCCTGAGGCCAAGACAGTCCAACTTCCCAGCAGAGAAAGAAGAAATCAGCTACAGAAGTAGTGTGGGATGGTCTGAATCTGATGAGAAGCTCCTCTCTCCTCCGAGAACTGACCACTACTCATAGCTAAGCATTCTCACAGTATTTTAAGGCTTTCCAAACACTTTACAAATAGGATCTCATTTGATCCTCATAACAAACCTGGAAGGGCGGTACTATTGTTATCTCCATTCTGTTCCCCCCCGAGGGGTGAAGTGAACTGGCCTAGCTAGTCAGTATCCAAGACAGGATTTGACCCCAGGTCTTCCTGACTCTAGGAGGACAGGAGGCTGGTTGTAAAGCAAAGTGCATCACGACAACATGGACCCCCACACGGGTAAGACTGCGGCTTGGGTCAAAGAAGCAGGGCTGAGCTAGTCTGCCCAGAGCTACGAATGCTGAAAAAATCTAGAATTATCTGAGGTATCTCTACAAACAAACAAAGGAGATCTATGTAATGTGAGGACCTAGATGGTCCAAGGAGGAACTTAAAGAATTAAGTCTGCATATGGACCGATGCTGAGTGAAGTGAGTAGAACCAGGAGAACATTGTACACAGCAACAGCCAGATTGTGTGATGACTAATGTTGATAGACTTAACCCTTCTCAGCAATACAAGGATCTAAGACATCTCCAAAAGCCTCATGATGGAAAATGCCATCCACATCCAGAGAAAGAACTGTGGAGTCTGAATGCAGATCGAAGCATGCTCTTTGCTCTTTTTTTTTCTTCTGCTTTGTTTCTTCTTTCTTGTGGTTCCTCCTATTGGTTCTAATTCTTCTTTGCAACATGACTAATGTGAAAATATGTTTAATAGGAATGTACATGTAGAGCTTATATCCAATTTCACACCATCACGCGGGGGGGGTAATGGAAGGGGGAGAAAATTTAAAACTCAAAAGCTTTTGGAAGTGATTGTTGAAAACTAAAAATAAATTAATCAATAAAAAAAAGAATTAAGTCTAAGAGCCATTGTTAAAGCTTTAAACATTTTTATATATTTTGGAAAACTGGTTATTTCTTCATTTTCCCCACTGCATTTTAGCCAATCGCCCAAGACTAACAGTAAATATTTTGAAAAATTAAAGTAACTGTGTGATGGTTTGAAGAACACCCTAAGCTGGGTGTTTCATTAACTCTGATTAACGGACTTCCAGACTGGAAGCTGGAGGAGTCTGATTTCATCAATGTCCAAAACACCTACCATATCTTCATATGAGAATCAGCGAGCAAAGGATGGTCACGAGAGGCCTCAGGACCCCAAAGCGCTGCTGAGCTACTGCAGCGTTTCAAAGAAGACTCTTGTGTTGCTGGTTCCCCAGGGCCTTCCCTTCTGCCAGTCAGAATGCTCACCGAAGGGCCTTCCTAAACATTCAGGCCTGGCGTACTTGGCCAGAGAAAGCTGCCCATCCTGGGCTCACAAGAACGTAAAGCACCGCGGACAGGACTGCAGCGCCTCAGGGAAGGTGAAGACAACTGTTTAGTGTGCAGAGAGCTCCACACTCAGGCTGGCTCTCTTTGATTTCTAGGCAATTGCTAGTACCTTATTAATGAATAATAAACATTTGCATCGGCCAGAAGCAGGCAGGCAGCTGGACTGCCAATGTACTGATTTACCTGTTCGGTTTTCCTTGCAATAAGATTGCCAATGGTCTTACTGAAGAAGCTGGCCAGTAGGGGGTTGAGAGGCGGCTCATGGTCCAAGAAGTCATAAAGGATGTTCAGTAAACTTTCGTCTCCTCCCAGTTTATCATTGATCTGCGGCACATCAGAGGTCAGGAGTTCACAGGCTGTGTTGGGGTATCTGAAAGGGCATAGCAACCGAAGGTGAGATTACATTTTTTTTTTAATTTAGAGAGCTGTTTAAAATACGCTGATCCTTAAGAAGCCAATCCAAAGTAGAAAAACAATATAGTGGGGCAGCTAGGTGGTGCAGTGGATAAAGCACAGGCCCTGGAGTCAGGAGGACCTGAGTTCAAATCTGGCCTCAGACACATAACACTTACTAGCTGTGTGACCCTGGGCAAGTCACTTAACCCCATTGCCTAGCCAGAAAAAAAGAAAAAAGGAAAAACAATATAGTAAGGAAACTCAGACACTCTTCTTCTCAGGCCAATGCAGTTTTCCTTTCTGGAGGCTGTTGTGGTCTTCCTCTTCAAATGCCCCTCCCTGCCCCCGGGAGCCTCCTTCAGCATGAGTTTTCCTTTCATTCAGTATCATCCTCTCCTCTTTTCTTTCCCTGTGCTTATAATCCAGCCTCACTGATCACCTCCCCAGCCTCCCATTAGCTTTCCCACTTTCTCTCTCTCTCTTTCTTCTCTACCAATTGACTGTCTTCCAAGGTGGCATAGTTTGCGCCACCCACTCACTGCTTCATGCATTTTAGTTATTTACCTATTTCTTTATTTTCTATCTCAGAAGTTATCTGTCTTCTTCTTTCCTCTGACTCCATGTTTCCGAATCTTGTCAATTCAGCCTCTGCAGCATCTCCTGTACCTGTCACCTTCTCTCTACCCATAGAGCCCCTAAGCTGGTCCAGCCAAAGCCCCTCACCTGGACTACTGCAACAACCTCCCCATTAGGCTCTCTAGTTCTACATTCTTCCCTCGCCAACCCACCCTCCAGACAGTTCCAAACAGACATTACTAAAATACAGACTCTGGCCAGCTAGGTGGCAGGGTGGATAGAGCATGGGCCCTGAAGCCAGGAAGACCTGAGTTCAAATCCGGCCTCAGACCAAACACATGACACTTACTAGCTGTGTGACCCTGGGCAAGTCACTTAACCCCAACTGCCTAAAAATAAAAAACAAAATAAAATAAAATACAGATCTGAGCACATCACCCTCCCCACCGAAAAATCAGTTACTGGCTGCCTATTACGACTCCTCAGCTGGGCATTCACAGCCCTTCACAGCGTGCCTCCCAGCTACCCCTGTGAGCTCATCTCCTGTTACCCCCTTTACACAGAGACTAGCCTGACAGCTGTCCCATGTACAAACATTCGATCTCTCCCATTTCCCCTTCTTTACCCAAGGGATCCCCTATGCCTGGAATATTCTCCCTCTTCACCTTTGCCAGATAGAAAACCTAGCTTTCTTCAAAGCACAGTTCAGGCTCCCCATCTACAAAAAGTCTTTCTAATCTCATCCCCCCTCCCAAGCCCCCATTTTAGAACTTGCTCTCTAGCCCTTCAAATTACTTTGTATATACTTATCTGGGTCCTCACCCCATCCCCCAGTAGAATGTAAGTTCCCTAAGGGCAGGACCTATTTCTTTTCTTTTTTTGGGGGGGGAGGAAGGATTCCCTAGCATCTATCTAACACCTTCTTCACACACAGAGCAAGTACTCCATGTGATTTTAAAACTGAATTACTTTTATTTTAATTAATTTATTAGTACTACTTTATTATTACTTTTATTTTTAATTATTATATTAGAATAACATATTATCATATATTATAATAATTATTTATTGGTTTATTAGTATTAATTTGCTTAATTAACTTATTTAAGAAAATACTATCACAGAGCCAGCAAATATATTAGTGCATCTCCTTAGGAGCCCTTAGGCTGGGTTGGGACTGCTGTCTCATAAGAAGGAGATTTCCATACTCTCCTTAAAGCACCATTCCAGGGTTCTCACCCACTAGCCTCCCAACAGTAACAGCCCAAACCCCCCAGATTGGTGGTTTGCTACATCTTTACGTGCACATCCCCTCCCACCAAGCATAGTGTGAGCTCCCAAGGCAAGAGAGGGCACAGATAACTCAAAAAGTCTAGGGAGAGTGAGCATTCGAGGACACAGGCACGCGAGACCATGGGCCCCACCCCAGGACTAAGCGGGAGTGAGGTGCTGCTGTAGCTGCTGCAGGAGGCTGGATTTCTTACACACTGTTGGACTTTTCTGGGTGTGTTTCAGTTTGTTCTTAGGTGTGAGGGGTTGTTTTGTTTGTTTGTTTTTAAAGCTCAGGCTAGACCAAAGAAAGTCAGTGCTGCAAAGGCCCTTAAGGAGAGGGCTGAACCACACTGCCATCTACAGTGGCCCTAGGGAAGAGAAGCCTCCTAGCTTCCACAGCAACTCTTGCTGCTCAGATCAGGCTTAAATCCTCCCCTGGGCAACTTCACCCATTCGTCCTCAATCTGCCTGTCTTGTGAGGCCTCCCTCTTCCACGTGACTGCCCTTCGGAGGCATGAAAAGATGGCGGTCGTCTCCCTTACCAAACTCTGCATCCTCGCTTCTCTCAACAGCCTGCATAAGGAATGCGCCTGGTCGCCCTCCTCTGGCCAGACTCCAGCTTCTCTGTAGCGGTATTAAAATAGGACATCCAGAAGTGAACACGGAGCTCAGCCAGAGCACAGCAGAGCAGAGCAGGACCACTGCAGGCCTCGCTGTGAACACTGGGCTCCGTGCCACGGTGCTGACTCACCTAACATCTTCAGTCGGCCAGAAGCCGGGCCTCTCTAATGGGACAGGCTGAACTAGGCCTCCCTCATCCTACATTTACTGGCCTTTGTTCCTGTTTTTCCCTGCTTTTGACTTGCTTTAGTACCATTCTGCTAGGATGGTTATTGGATGACAAAATCCGGATGAAAATGATTAGCTAGCCCTCCCAGCCATCTGTCATTCAGGAATGTGCTAATAAGCAAGTCATCTCAAACCACTGGCACAAGTCCCAAGACGCTGGGGTAACGAACTCTACTTGTGACCTTCCTCCAGACATCTATCCCATTTAATTATCACTCTTTCAGTCGGTCTTCAATTAGCTCTGAATTCATTTAACTTAAGGGTCCTTAACCTGGGGTTCACAAATCTCCTCTCACCAGGGGTTCTGTGGACAGATTTCAGGGAGTCCATGAATTTGGATGGGAAAAAGTATCTCTTTATTTCAATGTAACTGACTTCCTTGGTGATTCAACATATTTTAAGTTTTTAAAAACGTTTTGCTGAGAAGAGGTCCATAGGCCTCACCTGAATGCCAAAGGAGTTCACGACACAAAAAAGTGAAGAATCCCTGAAAGAACCCACAAGTGTCCACAAGAACACCACGACACACTCAAAAGGCCTTGCTCAAATCCACAGAGGCCGGATCAGAACCATTCGCCTGATCCACTATCAAACAAACAATGTGGATTTGTTTGACTTTGCTCTTGATTAATTCAAGCTGACTCTTAATAATTACTGCTTTCCTTTCTAAGTGCTCAGCCTTTTAATAATGTGTTCTAGAAAACTGCCAGAAATGGAAACCAAGTGCCCTGGCCTCCTGTTTCCGGACTCCGCACCTCACCACCCTTTCAGATCAGCACGCTCTTCGCCCACCCCACCCTGCAGCCCTTCTCCCATTCGCTGTTACTTTTCAGGGACCATTGACAGCGGTCAGGCATTCACTCCCATGTCCACACATCCTCTCAGTCCCCCGTGACACATGGGCCTGTGGACAGAACAACCAGAAGCCCACCACACACTTTCTGAGAGTGAGGCAAAGACTGGAAGATGAGAAGGTAACAAGCTCAACCCGGCATGCCCAGGCAGGCAAATCCCCAAAGTGGCCTGAGAGTATTCTGGGCCCATGAGGGCTAAGCTTGGCCTAGAAAACTGCAGATGGCTAGAACAGCTTAGGTAGGGCTACCTAGACTGGAACAGCTACTTCTAATTACACTGGTGTATTATTTCTGAATTTGCAGCTTTCTTTTCCCTGTAAATAAATGAGGTTGATGCGTGTAAAAGTGCTTTGTAAACCTGAATATGCTATGTAAATGTTAAAAAATTAAAAAATCCAGAACAATGGACCCTTGCAGTCTGTAGTGCACAGAGATGGTGTAGAAGGAAATGAACGCGAGGCCTAGCACCAAGAGAGAGTGGCAGAAGAAAAAGGTCTTGAACACAAGGAGCAAATCAGGCTCCCAGACTAGGAAGGTCAGGAGGAGGCAGAGCATAGACAGCCTCGAACCTCATGCCAAAAACACCTGGCTTCACACCCAAACTCTTCCACTGTGAGTACTATGACCATGGGCATACCTCTGGTCTCTGGGACTGACTCCTTATCTGTAAAATGATAAAGCGATGACATCCACCGGCTGGCTCATGAGGGTGCTGTGAGGCCCGAACGAGATGATGGCACCGAGAGCGTCTGGCAAACGACCGGGCTTCACATCCAGCTGCAGGACACCTCCACGCCACGTGTCACTTACGACTGTCACAGCAGCCAACCCAACGCACTTCAAGGCTTCCCCCTCTGCGCAGGTGCTACTCTTCCTGCCCTGGTTCACACTCCTGACTTGACTTACAAGACAGTGCCCCAACATGCATCACTGTGTGGCCAACCTGGCAACAGACCTCTGCACACTTAGCTCAGCTGGCCCTCAGACCCCACGGAGACTCTCTCATCAGGCTCCTGGCAAAGTCCTGCCCACTTACTATGCAGCCTCAAAGCTAAGAGGATCGTCATTTTCTAGGTTTTAAAACATAAAGCCATCCCTTGGTTAACAGCTGTCAATGAAGGCACTGCCCCCCTGTGGACTGAGTGTTACTGCAGGCCCGCCCTTCTTCTCCTGGGCTCCCATGTGATGATGCCTTCCCCTCCCTCCTTCATCTTCCTTGGATTTATTTCTTTGTCTCCTCTTGTAGAGCATAAGCTTCTTGAGGGCAGAAGCTGCCTTACTTCCAGCACTTAGCACAGCGCCTGGGACACAGTAGGTCCTCAGTGCCTGTTGTCTGATTGCTTGGTTGTCCCAGGTCGTGTGAGAAGGGGCATGAACAGACTGTATCTGCTGTGAAGGAGCTCCCAATCACCTGGGGAAGACTTCACGTACAAGGACACACGTGATGGCTTTCCAAAGGCCTTCGAGATCTGTTCGTTCACATCCCCCACACCCCATGACTAATTCCCTCCATCTCTCTCTCCACATTGTCTCCTGCAGATCAACATCCGTGTGCCTGGAGCTGGCCCTGGAGAGGGCTCCGGGCAGCAGGTTGGGCTGCCCAGGCTGGCCCTGGCTGGTTTCTTCTTCCGCTCCTGGCACACGCTCCCCGGCTTGCTGAGGCACCAGGTGAAGCAGACAGCGCTAAGTGAAAGCTTCGTCAAATGAGAATGGCTAGTTTTTAAAACACCGTTCAATTTGAGAAAATCTTTTCTGGGTTCTTCCTCCCTGAGAGCAGCAATTCAAAACTAATCTCTCTTCTGATCCTACAAGTATGCACAAAGGAGGAATTATCAAAATAATTGCCATACTTTAGTAAAGGCTTATCTTGAACATAACCAAATAATACTGTTTCAACAACGAGGTGAAGTTTTACAACCAACGAAGAAGGTTTAGCAAATACATTTTCATTAGCTAACATCTCAGAAGCCTTTAAATAATGTCTTGGCAATTACGGGTTAAGCAAATAAAAATTCAATCATTTTCTACTTGTTCCTCCATCTCTACTGTTAGCTAAAGAAGAGACTCTGTGTGTGTGTTTGTGTGTGTGTGTGTGTGTGTGTGTGTACATGCTTCCACTGATCACTGCTCCCATCACTGATATAGAGAGCAACGTTTCTGTGACTTCTTCTCACCTAGGATTCTTATCTATTGTTTTCCCATAAGCCCTTCAGAGAGGACATACAGTATTTTTTTTTCTGTATATAATAGCGTATCAATCAGCCTTAATAGAAGCTTCCTCTATGTGTGAATTTTCATGATGGAGATTTGAAAAGTTGTTTCTGCGAGACCTGACCCAAAAAGAGGCAGTATTCCTGGGAGCCCAGAAAAATACTGAAAAGTAATTTTCTCCTTTCTATAGAAATAAAAATGATCTTTAAAAATCACACAAAAGCTTCTAGTAAATTATATCTTGACCACATGGCCTCAAACTCAGTCCCATATTTTGGACCCTGGGCAGAGAAAAATTTGTTTCTATTGTCCTTTCAATATTGTCCTTTCTGATAATTTGGGGGAGGGAGGATGTGTTTTAAAATATCTCTTGACATCCCTAGTGTTTCTTTCAACTTCAAAACCATATTGGAGCTTAATTTTTGATAGAAAGATCTCTTTTCCCATGGAGTTCTCCCAGTTTTACACTGTGAATTCCTACTGACTGTCGATAGGCGCTCCTGATATTCCAAAGCTGTCAATTTAGTCTATGTTTGCTCAGACTTGGAGGTGCTGGTCTGCTCTGGCTCTAGCAGGGCACGGGCGGTGGTGACCCTAGAGAGGGTCCTCACCCGCTCCCACGGATTCAGCAAATGGCTTCAGTTTTGGTCTCTCGAGCTCCAGCCCTGCACCACCAACTACCTACTGGACATTTCCACCTGGCTGTCCCATTGGCATTTCGAACTCAGTAAGTCCAAACCCGAAGTCATTCTCCTTCCCTGCTGGTCCCCAATGCCTGGGACGCATTTCCACCCGACACCTGCCTTGGCCAAATCCCTAGCGTCCTTGAGAGCTCGCTTGGGCACCACCTGCCGGAGAAAGGCAATCCTGATCCACCCATTTGCCCTGCTGGAAATTATTCTGAATGGATTTTGGAACTGGGTAGTGGTCAATTGTCTACACGCTTGTAAACTCCTTAAGAGCAGAGGTTGTTTTGTTTTTAGCTGTCTCTCTTCAGCTTCTAGCACAGTTCTTGACAAAAAGGGAAAAAATCCCTGCTCTCCTGGAGCTAACAGTCCACTCGGGGAATACGAGACCTCAACAGAGCAGTGCACGTGCGATCAGCAGGAGGAGGTGACTGCACTAACCACTAAGAGAATCAGGAAAGTCTCACACAGGATGTGGCCCACTGGCTGAGCCTCAAACGAAATGCAGTGGGGAGGAGGAGGGCACTCCAGGCACGGGGCCATGTCTCATGTGGGGATCAGCAAGGACGCAGACAAAGGAGAGGGGAATGAGGAACAGAAAGGCAGCAGGAAGATGGAGCCCAATTACCATCAGGGCTCTCTCTCTTCTGACTAGGACAGTCACTGCTTCTCCCTCAGTCTCTCTTCTTCCTGCACCTAAACGTACCTGTATGCCAAGGCTTGGCCCTTGACCACCTGCTCTTCTCTCTACACTCTCTCCCTTGATGATGGCGCCCAGTCCTACAACTGCAACAACTCTCTCTCTTCTGTAATCTCAAACTGCACGCTAAACACTTATTTTCACCAGGTTATTCCACGTGGGGTGATCCATCACTTCAAAGTCAACCTGCTAAAAGCTGATTAGCTTTACCTTACTTTCCCCGAATTATGTCTCCCTCCCTTCAAGCCTCCTCTCCTGGGGCTTTTCTTCACATGAAGACTCAGTGCTCCAAGGACTTCCAGGAAGCAGTTCATATGCATTTGGGTTATTTTCCATGAAAACAACAACCATTTTTAAATCCTTCCATTTCCCCAACGGCTAGGAAATGTCGTTACTGGGTCATCTACAATGGAAGCATGACCACGCGTGAGGTCACACATCTATGGAAAAAGCTTTCAAGACAAGCATTAATGCTGACTGCAAACATTCCAGTTTTCTTCAAGTATCATGTTTCTAAATGAAGCTATTTACGGTCACCAGGGCCCTGGCTACCACTGTGACTCCTTTATCTTCTGGAGAGCTCCAAGTCTAATTCCTAACTCCTAATTCCCACGTCTTAGAACCTGGGCCTCAGCACTTCTAGCTCTGGGGAAACTGAATGTTAACATGGCCACAATTGGCCATGGAATCGATATTTTTGCTTTGGCAGAAGATGTTCATTCATAAAGAAAACATGAACAAAACATGAACTCTCAGATAACATCATATATAAACTTCCTAGAAATATGAGCCAAAAAGCACACACGGGATTCGAAGATTTTTTTTTAGCATTATAAGAAAGAAACTCTACGAAACAGTTCTGTTCACTCGGTCGGAGGCCGTAGGAAAACAGACAAGATCACCAGTGAAACGAGAGCTGTCAAAGTTCCAGCTGCCCTCAGCTACAGACAGATCACCTTCCTGAGACACTGCCCAGTGCCCGTGACCCCAGGGCCGCAGCAGGGGTACATACTTGAAGCGGACCTTCTCTTCCATGTCCAGGGGTGGGTCATGAGTGATGAGGCTCAGCAACTCCTCCATACACTGCTGCTTGCAGAGGAAGGCCAGAAGCTTGCGGTTCTGTGCCTTGCATTCTTGTAGGACGTCATCTTCATCCATCAGCTCATGCAGAGTTACATCCTCTTTGTCCAGCAGTTTATCAACATGGGATGTTGTGTTCAAATCAAACTTCCAGAACATGGTGATAGGGCTCACCAAGCTGCAAGGCAAGAGAAGAGGCGTCACTTCTCATCACCTCCAAAACCAGTCCAGCCCTCACCTACTCCGTCCTTCTGGAGCCCAAGGAGAGCTGCTACCATTTCCTCTAAGGGGACACGCTTCCATCATGTGTCCCCCAATGTGGGGAGGACCATCCACAAGAACTGTCCTCGTCAACCTAAGCAGAGGTGCTGACTTGAGCAAAAACCCTACTCAGCGCTGAGCCCTACAGCTGACCCCTCGCACGCCCCTACGAGAGACACCACACACTTCGGGGAAATCACACAACTTTGCCCCCAAAGCTTGTTAAGGGAATTGTGCCCCCAACTCCCCTTGGCCCATTTACAAATGGGTTACAGTAGGATTAGTATATTTCTTTGTCCTTCACAATTCCAAAATTCCGTGAATAATTAGCAAAAAGCTAACAAGAATAAGAATAATTGCTCACAATTCTTAAGTACTCTGAGGTTTACAAATTAGTTTCCTCACAACAACCCTGTGAGGTAGGTCGTCTACATATTGTGAGCCCATTTTACAGAGGAACACTGAGGTTTAGGAAAGTGAAGTAAGTCACTTGCTCAAAGTCCCACAGCTAGTGAGTGTCTAGTCAGGACTCAAAGCTCCAAATCTAGTACTCCTTCCACTGCACCTACATAAACCACATATAGGTGGTAACTGTGGTTTACATGGACATCACTTCAAGGTTTACAATGTCCGTGAGATCTACATCTTATTTCAGACTTACGACAATGTTGTGACAGCCCAGTCAAGTATGATTATCTCCTTTTTACAGATGAGGAAACTGAGGTTCACAGAAGTGACATGATTTTTCCAAGATCACATAATTAGTAAGTGGAAAAGCAGGGACTCACATCCACGTATTCTGATTCAAGTTCATGGTCTTTCGTCTTCTGAACTCAGAATTTGCTGTACTTCAGAGGGAGTCACCCTACGGGAGGCGGGGTTTGAGATTCCACTCAGGGTCCTAAGGCCCATTCCTTTTCACTACATGAGAAAGTGTCTGCAGGTATGAGCAGCTGGGGTGATGGCTCTGGACCAGGAAACTAGAATTTCCCAGGGAAGGGCTGAGAGGAGCAGCATTGGGAAAGAAGAGAAAGAAGCACAAGCCTGGCTGGCTCTAAGAACAAAGCCCTGACGTGCCTACACACAATCAGCCCACGGATCAATCCCACTCTTTCCAAACCCCTTCTACTACCCCCAAGGCAATAAGGCTGGATGCCAGCCAGGCCCTCTGTACCCTCTGGGTACAGATCCTAGGCTCTCAGAAGCCCCTCTGCCCACTGCTTTTCCCCTGCTAATCTTCTGTCAACTGACTGTTGCTCCTAATAATTCAATGAAATGCCCCTGCACTGCCTGCCACATGTGAGGCACTTTCCTGAGACAAGCTGTGCTTTCTGCACCCTTCCACATACAGACAAGTCGAGGGGGGAGAGGAAAGACCCAGACAGTGTGATCTCCAGTAAAGAAGGCCCTTGGAGTCAGTGTTGAGAGTTAGTTAAAGGAAAATGGCAAGAGAAAATTAGAAGTGTATCAGGGCAATGGAGACAACCAGTGGTCACTCACTTCACCTATGGTCAGCACTTCTGTCATTATCAAAGGATCTTCAAATACGTCATCCCATTTGATCTGAGCTTCAGAAACAACCTAATCAAACATCTCCATTTCCCGAAGTATAAACAAAGTTTGGACAAGACAAGTATTTAATAACTGAATGGGGACACAAAACCCAGACTTCCCCGGAAAACTATCCTACATCATGCTACACAAGTCAATGTATTAGAGAGGCCCAAACAAGTGCCACGTGGGGTCTGCCGGAAGAAGTTTTTCATTGGGGAAGACCTTGTGGAGAAGGAGGTACATGAACAAAATACGATGGGTAGACACTTAACAGAAAAAAAAGGAAAGGGCATTCCAGGCCCATGAATGATGTGGGTAAAAGTACAGAAGTGGGCAAATACCAGGCCTGTTTCAGGGACACAATCTTCTAGTTTGGCAGGAGTAAAGAGTAAAGTACAGAGATGAGATAAGTACAGGGAGCAGAGAGCCAGATCATGCAGAAGGAAGATCTACAGTGGATGGGCAGCAGAGTAGAGGCCACCAGAGCTTTTGTCAGCAGAAAAACACCCTAGCCAATCTGGGGGATAAGGAAGACTTATCTGGCAGCTGTCTGAAGAATGGATTGAAAGGGGGCCAGACCAGTTTGGAAGTTCCTGAAGGAGTCCTTGAATAATGAGGCCTTGAAGTAGGAGAGGGGCCTAGACTAGAGAAGAGGTTATGGAGAGGAAAGGCAATGCTAAGGACAATCTGCCTGCAAATTAGCGGTGAGAGAAAAGAATCACAGAGAACCTCATGGTTTCCAAATTGGAGAACATATCCAGGTTAGGATCATAGACTGAAAGAGAGGACTTAGGAAGAGGAACAAGTTTTTCACAGACATAATGCGCTATCCTTCGTTTTTGGACGTACTGAATTTGAGATGCTGGTGAGATCTCCAGGGGAGATGTGGGTCTAACATTCAGAAGAGAGGTTAGGCTGAATATAGAGATGGGAGAGTCCCCAGAATGCAGGGGATGGTTAAACCTTTAAGAGTGAATGAGATAAAACAATTTACTATACAGCAGCCCTTGTTAAGAGAGCAAAGAGCTGGAGACAAAAGTGATGACCACTGACTGGGGGATGGCCAAACAAATGGTGGCACGTGAAAGTCATGAAAGATTACAGCCCACGACCCATCAGGACACCTGTGCATGCTCCACAACCATCACCAATGGGAGAAATCAGGCAGGACCTTCCTTCCTCATCGCCGCCAGCACCAGGCAACAGGAGCCCCGAGAGTGACAGCACCCCCAGACCGCCTGCCCTGCCCAACATCTCACAGTTATCATCCAGGAAAGTAACTCCTGTACAGAAAGGACAAGCCATCATCACCAACTGCCAACCAACTACCATATGAAGGGCCAGCAAGTCAGCCTAGCTGAAGCAGCAAGGAACCCCAAAGGAGAGACAGGAGGTAGCGTGAATCAGGCAAGTCAAATCACCACGTCCACCAACTTGACCACCATCTATCTCCCCTCAGACCCTGATGGAGCCAGCCCAGGATCCCAAACCCAAGAGCCTTGGGAACAGCCATGTTACCAGGCTTGTGCTCTCCACCCCCATCCTGGGAAGATGTAGCCTGGGGCCTGCTCCTGTAGAGACTACAGCCACAGGGAGTGAGGACCCAGACAAGAACATGCTGCCTCCAGAGTCCTCGGCTCCATCCAGAAGCAGATAGGATTTCATCAGTGAAAAGAAATGGCATGAAAGACAAGGCCAGACCATCCACTTTGCTGCTGCCCCCAAAATACGGTAGAATGTATTTCCATCTTACTTGTAGCTAACCCTTCCTTACGTATCATCTCCCTGTTAGAACAGGAGCTCCTGGAGAGCAGGGACCATTTGACTTTCCTACTGGTATACTCCAGCACTTAGTACAGGTTTCCTTTTGCACATACTAAGTGCTTAATAAATGTTTCTTTCATTCATTCATTCATTCATTCATTCATTCTTTCTTTCTTTCTTTCTTTCTTTCACTTACTCTGTGCCAGGCAGTATACTAAGTGCTGAGGATACAAACAAAGGGAAAAGCATGGGATCTGCCCTCATTGTACTCATATTCTGATGGGGAGAAAACATGCAAACAACTACATACATACAATACATACATACATACATACATACATACATACACAATGTAAGTATAAGTCATCTCAGAGGGCTGACACTAACAGTGGGAGTTTGGGGGGAACTGGGATAGACCTCTTGAAGAAGGGAGGACTTCAGCTCTTAAAGAATGCCAGAGGAACTGGGATGTGAAGGTGAGGGAGGAAGGGGGATCCAGCCAGTGAAAAGGCATGGGGCGTCATGGGGGAGGAACAGCAGGGAGGCCAGCATCACTGCATCTTCAGAGTTTGCGGGGAGAAATGTAAGGAGACTGAAAATGGAGGAGGGCTCCAGGTGAGGAGTGGATTTGAACGCTAAACAGAGGATTTTCTATTTGATCCTGGAGGCAATAGCGAGCTGCCAGAGTTGACTAAACAGGGGGGTGACTGAGTAGAACCATGCTTTAGGAAGATCCCTCTGACAGCTGGGCAGATACTTGAGACAGGGAGGCCTGCTAGAAGGCCACGCGATAATCCAGATGTAAGGACAGGAGAGTCTGGCACAAGGCGGTAGCTATGTGAGTGGAGAGAAGGGGACATTTGGGAGAAATGCTGTGAAAGCAGAAAAGGACACTGTGTACCTGAGGCGATACCTATGTGTGAGCCTGGAGGACTGGAAGGACAGTGGGACACTTGACAGTAATATGCAAGTTAGAAAGTGGCTGCAGGTTGGGAGGGAAAGATAACGACTTCCATTCTAGACTGCCGAGTTTAAGATGACTGTGGGACATCCAGTTCAAGATGTCCAAAAGGCGGCTGGGCTGGGGATGAGACAGCAGAATGCACAAGAGACACTAAAGCTGGATTAACAGACTCAGAATCATCTGCAGAGAAATGATGACTGAACCATGGAAGCTGAGGAGATCACGTGAGAAAGTCGAGAGGGGGACGAGGTGGCCCAGGACAAACGTGCAGAACAAACCTCTACCTCATTAGGCAACTGATTCTTTATCCAACCTCTCTGCTCACTTTTTAACTCCCTGAGACACGAGCAAGTTCCACGTGTGTCTCCTGAGTCGTGAAAGCCCGCCCCTCCTGGAGGAGCCTCAGAATCCCCCAAACCTGCTCTTTCTGTCGACGCTAAGCCTGTGGGAAGCCCCACCAAACAACCCTGACTGCCCTGGGACCTCAGAAGTCCCCGTGTGTTCTTAAATCACTGAGCCATGACCTAACTGGGTCTTCTCAAGTACAAGGTGACCTGCCTTTTGATCTTTCTGTCCAACACACCTGCTTGTTCTCCCTGAAGCCAAAGGACCCTTACTGCTGCTGGCCCCTGCTGTTTCTGCAGAACTGACCCAAGAATTTCACAAAGCCCCAGATCTTCTTACCTGATAGAATTACTGAATCTAGTCTAATCTAGCTCCTTTGACCCACCAGCACCAAAAGTTCAGTTCCATCTGGATCACCAGAGACTGAGCAATTCAACTCTCGTGAGTAGAGGGTCGGCTGCGTGATTCCTGAACCTGGGCTACCCTTCCCAGAAGGGCTTTCTAAGCTTGGGAGAACATTACTTCCTGTGCTGTATCCCTAGAGTCCAAAAGTCCAGTAGATGCTACAGCAAACCCAGGCCAAAGAAAGATAACCAAGAAAAACTCCAGCGCTGCCCTCAGGACTAGTAATTATTTATTTTTAAAAAGACATTTTGCTTAAAAACCTTAAAAATACAGTTTATTTCTCTTTTACATTTTATCTTCACATCACAGTCATTTCAATGTCTATCCGATGCTCCCTTGTGACGCAACAACCCAGTTCATCCAAAACGAGCTGACACGGTGACAGTGAGGACAAAAACACTATTCCATCCTCGTCATCTCCTCCCCGTGGCCCCCCTCTTCTCTCTGTGAGGGGGAAGGTTCCTCCTGGAACCCTGATAGGTTTTTCAGCTTCTTAAATGACTACTTCCTACGTGGTGACTTTGGAAGGCACACTGTTGTCCTTGTATGGACTGTTTTCTTGACTCTGCTCACTTTGCTCAGCGTCATCTACCAGCCCTCCCGTTTCTCCAAACTCTCCATATTTATCGTTTCGTAATACACAACAATATTCCACCCATTCATATGTCATGGTTGATTTTTCAGTCATTCCTCCAAATAACAGAACCTGACTTTGTGTCTTGGGAGGTCCCCAGTCACTGCACAGGGCACTTACATCACTTTTCCTGCCTGATTCCAAATTAATCAATCCCCAGAAAAGCTGGACCCCTTCCCAGCTCCACCAAAAAGGTTTAAGTGCGCCTGACTTTACCCCACCCTTAAAACAATGACTGTCCCCAACTCTGATCATTTCCCCCCAGTTTTCAACAATAAAGTTAGAAAGATGAATTTAGGGGTCACAGAGGTACGGGGACAAAAACTCTTTTACGATCCAAAGCAGGTTGGGGTTTGGGCAACTGGCTTTCTAAAGTGGGGTGGTGGATCAGCCCACTAGCTGCCTTCTCTACTTCTACTCCAAGAAATGAAAACAAAACTAGTTGCACTGAGTCGGACACAAGAGTAAATGATCAAACTTCAGCCCCACACTCCCTGCTGCATGGCGTCCATTAACTCCCTACCCACATGCCCCCAATTCTCAGAAAATGACCCTGCACCTTCAGTTTTACTGAGATTAAAACCATTCACTAGAAGCATCTTCATTTCCCCTTTCCTCACCTCACATATCTAGCTCCCATCTCTCCCATCTCCTTCAAGAGCTTAATTACCCCAATGACAACAAGCTCGACCCTACACTCTGCCCTACACTCACGATCTTCAGTCTCTTACTACCTACTGGTGCCTTTCCAATTTTTTTCTTTTCTTTTCCTTTTTTTTAGGCAATTCGGGTGAAGTGACTTGCCCAGAGTCACACACCTAGTGAGTGTCAAGTGTTTGGTCTGAGGCCACATTTGAACTCAGGTCCTCTTGACTTCAGGGCCAATGCTCTACCCACTGCACCACCTAGCTGCCCCCTTTCCAACTTGTTACAAACGTCCTCACGTTACCATGTTGGGTTTTTTAACCGTTAAAAGCCTTCCCATGGGAGGAAAAAAACACTGGACTTAAGCTCTTTCTGCCCAAAGCTGTTCAGACCATTTGACCCAGAGATCTTGATGAGGTAGAAAATTGAGATTACACACCAAAGGATTTGCTGACAGCCAGATAAGACCCCTTTGTACAAAAATGCTCACATCATACCGTGATGACAAAAATTGTGTGCCCAACAATGGGGAATGACTGAAGAGGTTATGGTCTACAGAGATAAAGAAATATTATTGTATCATATGAGATGACAACAAATAGGGAGAAATCAGAGCCACCTGGGAAGAGCAGAGTGAATGGAAGGAGAGGGTGTGGCATTAAAGAACAAGCCTCAGGCAAGTCCTTTCACTTCTGGGGCCAAGGTTTCCTTCTCTATCAAATGAGGCCTTCCAGCTCTAAATCTGTAATCCTTAGTGCTGCAGAGGAAGGAAGCAGTACCAAAAGAAAAATGCGCACTGACTAGCAGAGGAGAAAACCAGCACTGAGAGGCAACCACACTGATCAAGCACAGTGGTCAAGAGTGCCCTATAACTAGAGTTCAAGGTCAGATCCCTCCTTTCTGTTAATAATCCACATGGTAACTATTTTGGAGAGAAATATAACTGCTTTTGGTAAAAAGATATTTTATTTATTTCATTAAATATTTTCCAATTACAAAAAATATAATTTCTAAAGAGATTTAGAGATTTGTCTTAGGTGTTGGTTGGGAAGTAGGGGGGGCAACAAGGTGGCTCAGTGGATAGAGCGCTGGGCTAAGTTCAGATCTGGCCTCAGGCACTTACCAGCTGTGTGACCCTGGGCAAGACACATCACCCTGTTTGCCTCAGTTTCCTCATCTGTAAAACGAGCTGGAGAAGGAAAGGGCAAACCACTCCAGGATCTTTGCCGAGAAAATCTCAAATGGGGTCACGAAGAATCAGACATCAGACAAGTATCTGTTTTGTCAAAATACAATGTGGAATAACAATTTTCTTTTTTTTTTCTTTTCGCTTTTTGGTGAGGCAATTGGGGTTAAGTGACTTGCCCAGGGTCACACAGCTATTAAGTGCCAAGTGTCTGAGGCCAAATTTGAACTCAGGTCCTCCTGACTCCAAGGCTGGAGCTCTATCCACTGCGCCACCTGGCTGCCCCAACAACTTTCTTTTTAAAGTTTTCCTTGTCCCTCCTACCTGCCACTTTGTCAAGCTCTCCTTAGAGGTCTGCTGCCTTTTCACCACCAGCTTCACAGAAAGAGCTCGCTATACTTGCTGCCTGTGCCTCCTCAGTCTTGTAATCTGGCTTCCACCCTGCCGTCTACAGGAACTCTCCTGCTGGCTCTTCCTCAGTCCCCCCTCCTTGACTTCCCTGTATCAGGTGATGCTGCTGAACGCGCCTTCACCTACAGGACACGATTCTCTCCCTCATCTCTGTGGTCTTCAATCTACCCTTCGCTGCCCTTCACTGGCTCTTTGTTCTTTAAGTCTTAGGTCCCCTTCTCTCTGGGTAATCTCATCTAAATTCAGTGATCAATACGGGTAACTTTCAAATCGAGGTGTCCAGTCCTAACCTCTCCCCAAACTCTGCCTACACACTTCCATCGAGACATCCTACCAACAACTCATACTCCCCACAGCCAAAGCCGTAGGCATCATCTCTCCAAATCATGCCTCCTCCAACTCCCCTGCTGCTGTGGATAACCCCACCATCCTTCCAGTTGCTAAGACTAGAAAACTAAGCAAAATCTTCAGCTCTCTCTCTCTTCACCTCCTATGTGCAGCTCTCTTTTATCTCTGACATATCACAGCTCCTTCCTCTCCGTCGGCAGGCCCCCCACCCAGATTAGGCCTTCATCATTTGTCCCCTAGTTAGCACTTCTGAAATTATGGGTCTCGATTCTTTATGTGGTCACAATCCACAGTTTAAGAAGTGCTAAAGGGGTCACAAGCAGAAAAAGTTTAAGAAGCTCTGCCCTACATTACTGGTCCAGCCTCCTACATAACTTCTCCACCCCTGGCGTCTTCTCTCTCCAATCCATCCTTCACACAAGTGCCAAAATAATTTTTCCAATACACAGGACTGAATGTCACTTCTACTTCTTCCACGAACCCCCTCAAAGCTTGCAGTTCACACTAACTAGGGTCCACCCCCAGGCCATGTTTTAGCCACCCTGCTGTTCTGGGGCCCAGCTGGCTTAACCAATGAGTGACTGAACCCAAACTCACACAGCCCACTACATCTAGCCATGAGCCAACAAATGAACCGTGCTTCATGTCTCAGCAATCTCTCCACCCCAGACAGCCTGTCATCTATTCTGTTCCTCATCTACATATCTCTCCTCCTCCCCCTACCAAGGTTACCTCTTACTCAGATGGCTCTTATTTAGTTGGACTATAGAGCTCATGGAGGGGATTAATATGTAAAAAGACTAGAAAGACAGGAAAGGGCCAGGTTGTACAGAACTTTAAATACCTGAAGAGTTTATACTTGGTCCTAAAAATAGTAGAGAGCCAATGGAATGTAATCACATCAGTGTTACCACTGATTTTGGGAAGGGTGGGTTAGGTGACGTCATCTCTATGATTTCCCAAAGCAAAACTCCCTCCCATGATCACTGTTCTCCCAAAGGTGGTCCTCCCATTAGAACACAAGCTGCTTGACAGCAGGGCTATCTTGCGCTTGTACTTGTATTCTCAAAATTTAACACAGTACTTGACAAACAGTAAGAGCTTAACAAATGTTATTCCTTCATTCATTCATCCCCTTCTCTGACCTTTCACAGAATCCCAGAATGTGAAAGGTAGAAGACAGCCTCTAGGCCAAGTCTATCTGAATCATCATGAATCACAGCTCGGGTACAGCTCTAAGAGGTCATCCATTCCTCCAAATTCTTCATCACAGTGTCATGACCTTCGAACATAGGCATGCCTGAAAGATTAAGGAAAGCATGTAATAACAACAACAAGGATATTTATATATCTCTTTAAGTTTGCAAACTGCTGTATCTTCATTTTTTCATTTGAGCCTCGCAAGAACCCTGGGAGGGAAAGCCCATTGTCAAGGTGAGAACTATTGCTGCCTGGACCCTTGGTGTATTCTGTGCCTAAGACCTTGTGCAGCCAACTGGCCAGACCGATACTGCAGATCGTCTCCGAAGACACCCGACACAAAGGAACACTGACAACAAACCGGACACATCAATTCAATGTAATTCAACCAACATTTATTTAGTTCAAGGGATTTTCCAGGTGTTAGGCATACAAAGACAAAAACAAAACTGTCCCTACCTCAAGGACATTTCCTTCTACTTGGGAGCACAACATGCATGCAAGAAAAAATACAAATCATGTACTTTACATACTGTTTGATGTAACCAGGGTCTGATCATAGCTTGATGTCATCCGGTATGATAGGGCTCCAACACGGAGTCACTTAGGCCAAGTGGTCCTAATGCCCACAGAAACAGAGGCCAAGCGGCCGGTTACACTTTTCCACTCTCTCGACATCAAGGGGAGAAGGCTCCCGGCTTTCTGCCTGGCTGAGCTTGTCCTCTGCTGCAGGGCCCTTGAGTCACCCCACCCCCTGCTGCTGCCTTAGTTACTGTTGGATCCTCCCACCAGTCTGTGGGCCTGATTAGGAAACTCCCCACCTGAGCTTTACCCATGTCTGCTATCAATAAAGGACCCCAAATGCTTCTACCACATCTGGATCTCATTAGGAATGCCCCCCTACATCTGGCACCAATTACCTGTTTTCAACCAAGCTCGTTCTTGGGGTGTATGATCTTGCCATCTGAACGATGTGTTCCCTCCCTCCCTCTATCCTGCCAGGGTGACTCTTCTTGCATGTGTGGACAAATCTCTGCCTGCTTATGTGGCCACATAGTGTGTGTGTGTGTGTGTGTGTGTGTGTGTGTGTTTGTGCATGCGTGCATGCTTTATTCACCTGCCTGCTGTGCCACCTAAAAATTAAGCTTGTGACTGTATCATTACCCCAAGCACCAATTTTTTGAAAATCCTGAAGCCGGGTACTTGCTTTAACCCAAGCCTTGAGAGGCCAAATAAAGCACATATACAAAGTCATTCCAAGAAGGAGAGAGTGCCAATAACTAGGAGAATCAGGAAATCAACTTGGCCAGCCCCTGAGCTGTGCTTTGAAGTGAGCAATCCTACAAGGTGGAGGTCAGAAGGGAAAGCATTCCAGACATAGGGGACCACTTCTGTTGATGGAATGGCACGTATGGGCAATAGTGAGATGGTCAGTTTTCAACTAAAGAGCATTTATAAATGACCAGACACTATGTGAAGCACTGGGAATACAAAGAAAAACCAAAAAACAAACAAAAAAAACCAACCCTGCCCTCAAGGAGCTTACATTCTAAGGAAGGAGAGAACATGTACAAATATAGGTCCATAGACGACATATACACAATAGATGGAAAAGCCCTGGCAGCTGGGGGTGGGGGGATGGGATCAGGAAAGGCCTTGGGTAGGAAGTGAGATATAAGCTGAGTCCTGAAAGAAGCCAGGGAAAAGTAAGTGGTGGAGGTGAGAGGGCAAGGAGGACATTCCAGGTAAGGGGGCCAGCGAGTGCAAAGGAAAGGAAAAGAAAGGAGATGGAATGCCACATGGAAGGAAGAGCAAGCAGGCCAGTGAGCTGGACAAGAGTGCATGGAGGGGATTAATAGGTGAAAAGAACCCAGGATGGGGCCAGGTGGTGAAGAGCCTTACATGCCACAAGAGTTTATACTTGGGCCTAGGGATACTGGAGTGCCATTGGAATTTGCTGAGCACAGGTTGACATGACCAAGAAAATTCCTTTGGCAGCTATGCAAAGGCTGGGTTGGAGTAAGGAGACACTTGAGACAGAAAGGTCCATAAAAGGCTATTTCAATAACTCAGGCAAGGCCGGTGAGGGCCTGAAGGAGGAGAAAAAAGGGAACAAAGATGAAAGCTGCTACAGAGGAAGAAAGTTTGAGATTTGGCGATTGATTGGATATGCGGGAGTGAGAGGGAGGCATCAACAATGATGCCAAGGTTTCAAATGTGGGGAATGGTAAGATGGTGGTACCCTTGACAGTACCGGGGAAAGTGGGTAGGTCTGGAGAAAAAAAAGGTAACGAGTTCTGTTTGGAGCATTCTGAGTGGGAAATGCCTACAAGACATACAGTTGTAGATGACTTACAGGCATAATAACCGGGGGCACCACCGGGAGCTATGGAGAAAGGCCAAACCAAGCTCAGATAGAGTGATTCAGGAGTCGTTTGCACACAAATGATGAACTTGTGGGAACTGATGAGATCAACCTGCAGGAGAGCAGAGGGGGAAAAGAGAAGAGGACAGAGCCTCCTAGGTAGTGGGAGTGCTTGGGATGAAGGTCCAGCAAAGGAGACTGAGAAGTACTGGTCCAGCTGGGAGGAGGTGAACAAAGAGGGTCCAATGTCACGAAAACCCAGACAGGAGAGAGTCCCTAGGAATGAAACCAGACTTCTGCGAGTCGCCCCAAGGCCTCCCCTGGCTCTCTGGCTCCACCTCCTGTGAGCATACTGAGCTCCAGAGCCAGTGCAGGAACCACAAGCCCAGGGGCCTGGGCCTCCTCCGCTTTCTCAGCTGGCTACAGGCAGCACTGAGATAAGGCAACGCCCTATTTAGGGCTCTTGTCGGCAGCCTTCCTACTCTCACAGCTTGACTGTCCTGCCTCCCTGAGTACAGAATATTTCATGATGGGAAACCTGACATACCATTTATTAGCTGTGGTATTCCTTTGGGCACTTAGCATACATCGTATTGCACTGGCATTCGCCTTATGAAACAGACACCTCACTACAAGTGGAAAACACCCAATGCACAGGTAACAGAGGTGATGATGACCCTCCAATCTGCTGGACTCTGCTGGACATTGCTTTTCTGAAACCCTAGGCCAGGCTGCAGTTCTGCTCTGCTAGCCCACTCTTATTCATTTACTCATTTGTTTGTTTGTTCACTCATTCATTCATTCATTCATTCATTCATTCATGAAGCAGAAGCCGTTACCCTGGGACCAGCTCCCCTAGAATCTCCATGCAGAAGTCTCTCATCTCTCATCTCCTAAGCAGGAGTGTCTCACTTCACTCCAATTCTGGACCCAATGAATCAGACCGGCCTGGATCAGGCCCTGCCTACACCACCTGTCTTATACTGTGATTAACACATGTCTGACTGCACTGTATGTGTTGCATGAGTTATGGCTATCAACATGCATTTCTAACATGAGTTTCATTTGATGGGTATCTTTATGTTCCCTATGCTAAACCTAAATGTGTTAACTGTGTGAACTGTGGGAAATGAGAATTTCCGTAGGTTGTGTCCAATGTCCACAGATTTCTTGGTATACGTCAAGTGATTTGGAGGGACTTAATTTTTCACTCAGAGAAGAATGTGAAGGGTGAGAAAAAGGCCCTTTCAGACTTCACTGTTTTCATGGGCTTTCAGGGGCTGCATTTTGATATGAAAACGCCAGGAATTTGCTTAGCAGTAAGCAGAAACAATGACCTTGCTTCCTATGTATAGACGATCTCTGTACATTTCTCAGCCCACTCATTTACACAGGTGAGCTCTCTAAACTTAGAAGTAAAAACTCGAGGAACCCTGAACATCAGAAGTCTTTCATGGCTATTGCCTAGGTCATAGCATGACCTACAGAAATGCACATTTAAAAAGTAGCATGGATAGTCCTCAGAAGGTAGATGATCATTTGCTGGGATGACCCTGGTTTAAATGCTAAAGATCTTGACACACATGATCTGAGAATTTCTTGTTCAGCACATGGGAGACCTCTCAGAATGGAAACTCTGAGGGAACAAATTAGGGGAGGCTACTGCTAGTCTTGGAGCACGGCAGAAAGAAGGGGTAAAGGAACAGAAAGGGAAAGGGAAAGGGAAAAGGAAACGGAAAGGAAGCTAGAAGCAGCTAGTTTAAAAAAAAAAAAAAGCACAGGGGCACCCAGGCCTAGGATTTCAGAGTGGCAGTGTCCAACAGTACAACGAATTATACGCATAATGTACAATTTCCTGGGGATTCTCAGTGCTTCTCTAACTGGAAATCCCCATCATGGTGATTTTGCTATAAAGTTAAGACTTGGGTTGGACAAGGAACTATGGTAAGAGTTGGTTGGAACCTAAACTAGACTAACATATGAAGTATCTATGGTGTGCAAGGTGGTGTCCTAGGCCCTAGAAAGTAATTCTGAGACAAAAATGAAGCCATTTCTGTGCTCCAGGAGCTTCTAGTCTACCGAACTGGGCTTTCTTTCCATGGACCGCATAAGGAAAAGACTTTTACCAAGGGGATTTCCAGAATCACCAAAATCCTGCCATTTCAGGTGCTCGAGAAATAGCTTTATTCCTAGTCCTATCTTGATCAAAAACAGGGTGAGATATTGTGGCCTGTCCAATATCGTGACAAACCCCAAGAAAACGGAGTCAACTGGCCAGTTTCACCTAGCTCCCAAAGGATCCACTAGACTGTCGTGTGGGGAGGATAAAATAATAGCGAATAATAGATTTGAAAAACTGAAACTGAAATGGAAGGTGGCACTGCTGTTTTCACCATCATTATTACTGATGACAAAACTCTCTTTGTAGAAAGCATCTGCATTATCCTAGAGTCTCATGACTCAAAAGCTAGAAACAGTACTTGTAAGAGGAACAGACAAAGAGAGAATGAAGAGAAGTAGGGTGGCCATTCCATTTGGGGTATTCTTTTCTATGACGAAAGGATATACACATATATGTGCATGTGTATATATCTATACAATATATTCATATATATATTTTATATATTATAATAGGCTTACAATACATTTATATCCCTTATATAAGTATAAATGAGTATATGCAAATTTATATATTATATAGTATATAATTTTATTATATATACAATAGGTTATAT